CAATCCCTTCCTTCAGCCTCTCCAGATCCTCCACCACCCAATCCGTCACCAGCATATTCCCCGGCTCATGCGCAAACACCAACCCATCAATCTTATCCCCGGCCGCCTCGATCGCCATCTGCGGCGTCACTCCACAGGCCTAACCATCATCCCGCGTTAGCATAACCACATACACCTCATCAAAAAATTTAGACAAAAAGCATATCTTGCATACCCAAAAAACCGGCACCTCCCCATCCTTAAACTCAATCTTCTCCCCAAAATCCGGATCATGAATATTCCGAATGCCCAGACGCTTCACCGCATCCCAGCCCCAATCGACGGGCTCCCCGTGCGTAGCTAGATACGGGCGCGTGATGTCCCGCACCCGCTCGACCTCTGATTCGTGGTAGGGACGCATGGACACGATGCATGTTGCGTTGGTGAAGATGCCTGCAGGCAGGAGGGGCAATGACGTGCGGTACATGGACACGATAGTGTTGCTGAGTTGGTGCCGCGGGGTTAAGGGCGGGGTTGCATTGCACAGGGCGGCTTCGAAGCTGAAGGAGCACCCCAGGAGGAAGGCTGTGTAATTTTCGGCATTTGGGTCATCGGTGGACCACAGATCGAGGAGGTCGGATTTGTTGGCCGCGATGCATTTGCCGTGCTTGTAGACTCGGTAGGATGGGCAGTCGGTGCGGATGTCGAAGTCGCGGTTCTGGATGCATGGCGTTGGGGTGATTTTGTGGGGGTTTCCCGGGATGCTGCTGATTCCTAGGAGGGGGCAGGATACTGGGTTGCGAAGACAGAGGTTGTGGAAGTCCTGGCTGTGTTTTTCTGGCAGAATGAGAAGGTTGGCTTGCAGGTTGTTCCCAGAGTAGCCCGCCGTGTTGGTGATGGTGTTTTGCCGGGCCAGAAGCCGCGTTTCCTGGCTGGATAGGGTTTCCGGTGTCTGGGTTATGGCCATCTTGGGGGGGTTTTTTCCCTGGATGGATGGATGGAGAGGGATTCTGGTGGGTTGGAAGTGGTTAGGAGTAGGTTCAACATTTGAGTTAGCATATATAATCAATCACTTACTCACCGATAGACCTGATAGCCTATCAATGGACTTGTATCTACCCCATATTTCCTCTCGTCCCTCTATCGGCAGGTGGGCTCCGATATCCGGGGATCAACGTGCTTGGGTCTCCACCAGCGTGATAAGCGTTGGAGGTCGAGTCTGCGGTTTCACCAATGAGCAGCTGCCAGATGATATCCTCCCGGGAATCTTAACTTTGCTTATCAGTCCATCGGCCCGATGGCTGACCCAGCGGAAGCACCAATGCTACTCGCCCCTCATCATAGATAGTACGCTTCCCGGTTTACTTGGCGGTGTTATCGATCCGTCGCCGCCTTCAGCTGTGGCCTGAGGGCTGGTCCATGGTTCTTAACCCCAGATCCTCCGCTGTTGACGTTTTCATCATTCTTCCTTCTCCCCCACATCCTCCTGGGTCTTCACAGCTCATCCTCTCTCCATCATGACTATCGATCAGATGGATCCCGTCGTTGAGCGAAAATCGCTCGAGAAGCCAATTGAGCAGGCGTCTCCTGAAGAGACTGCCATTGGGGATATTGACGATGTCGTCCTCGACCCAGCGAAGGAGAAGAAGCTTCTCATGAAGCTCGATATGGCCTTTGTGCCCATTATCATGTTGACCTACCTGTCTTGCTTCCTCGACCGTAGTAACATCGGTGAATATCCCCCAATGCACGTTCCCCACGAGGATGGATATCGCTAATGATTTTTATTTCAGGTAATGTCAAGGTAGCTGGCATGCCTGAAGACATCCACGCCTCCGACAGCGAGTATTCTACCGCCGTGTCCATCTTCTACGCTACCTACGTGCTATTAGAGGCACCTTGGGCCGTGGCAATGAAGAAGCTCACTCCGCGGAATATCCTCACCGGTCTATGCATCATCTGGTCAATTACCACCGTGTTTACGGGCTTCATCCACAATGTCGCCTCGCTGTACGCAACACGGTTGATCCTCGGTGGCTGCGAAGCCGGACTCTTCCCGTGTCTAAACCTGTATTTGACCATGGTGTATCGTCGAGAAGAGCAAGCAAAGCGCGTCTCATACCTGATGAGCTGCGCCGCCATCTCCGGTGCCGTGGGAGGTCTACTCGCATATGCATTGTTGCACATGGACGGTGTAGGCGGCAAAGCCGGCTGGAGGTAAGCTACCCGTGTACCCCTCCCTATCACCCCATCAACACTTTCTAACAAAAACCACAAAGATGGGTCTACATCATCGAAGGACTCTTCAGTCTAGTGTGCGCCATCCTCATCTGGTTCGGTCTTCCCAACGACCCCAGCAACGCCTACTTCCTCACCGCCGAAGAGAAATACATGATGCGCGTGCGCAACGAACAACGCCGGAAGTACATGGGCAGTGAGCACTTCAGCTGGGAGGAGATGCGCATTGCTCTTCGTGATCCCAAGCTCATGTTCTCTGCCCTCACGCAGTTCTGTCAGGATATTCTCCTCTACGGATTCAGTACTTTCCTTCCTACTATCTTGGGGAGTCTGGGGTATAATAGTCTCATGAGTAATGTGCTCACGGTACCGGTGTATATCTGGGCTGCGATCGTGTTTATTGCTGTCGCGTTTTGCGCGGATCGCTTTGGGAGGTTTTCTATCGTAAGTTTTCCCCTTAAACCCTACCAACTTCTGACTATGTGGTGACGGATGTGGGGGTGCTAACAATGGGAACAGTTCATCCTAGTCACCAACATCTTCGGTATCGTCGGCTACATCCTCCTCCTGACTGTGTCCAACGACGCCGTCAAATACTTCGCTACTTACCTCTGCGGTGTGGCTGTCTACACCGGCGTCGGACTGAACGTCGCCTGGTTGAACGTCAACGTGGCGCCTCAGTACCGTCGTGCACTTGCCATTGGTCTCCAGCAGACAGTGGGTAACTGCGCCGGTATTGTAGCGGGCCAGGTTTATCGCACGTCGCCGTATGTACTAGGGAATGCCTTCTCGTTGGGGGCATTGGTGGTGTCGCAGGTAATTGTCGCGCTTCATGCGGTGTATCTGAGACGGGAGAATAAGGTGAAAGAGGAGATTCTGGCGGGCGAAAAGGAGGATACGCGAAGAGTGAAGACAGGTGATGGCGAGGTGGAGTTCAGATACCATACTTAATATGTCTGTTTCATTTATCAATAATTTATTGCTCGTTCCAAAATATGTGTCCTGCAACAATATACCCTGAAAGCCGCTCAAGACATCCTAATTAACGAGCGACCCCACAACCTCATCCAAATCCTCATACTCAATCCCCAATCTCTTATTCCACGACCCGCCCGACACCTGCTCCCAACTTCCATACGGCCCATCCGGTAACCTCGCCAACGCAGACGCTAAGAGCAGAACGCGCACGGCCGAGAAATCACCACCCTTGAACCGCTCAGTACTCTCTTGAATAAGCGGTTCAAAGTCAACATCAGTGACCTTCCATTCCTTGCCGGTGGCTTTTTCGAGAGCCCCGAGAATCTGCTTTTGCGTGACGGTGAATGACTCGACGTAGACGTATTGATTCTCAGTAGCCTCTGGGTTCTGCAAGACAGCGACTAGAGCACGACCGATCTGAGCGAGGGTGCTGACTGAGGCCGGGATGGTGCCGTTGTCATAGACGGTTGCTTCGTGCGATTGGAGGTTGAAGCCCAGGAAGCCGGTTTGGAGACCCTGTTGAGTCAAATATATTAGCATTGCTTCTTAAGTCGGACCATTCAAAGAAAAAAGGAAAGGCAGAAGGCCTTGACAAGATACTAGGTATTAGAACCACTTACCCAATCAAAAAACGGCCCCGTTATGAGTGCAGTCCAACTCAGCCGATCCTGTCTCTCATTAAGATAATCGACAATGGCTTTCTTGCCATCAAGGAGCGGTGCAAGCGCCCGGACACGTTCATCTGCGGTGTTGTTACCGAATTCGCTGAGGATGAACCGTTTGACTCCTGCGGCGAGGGCAGCGTCGATGAGTTTCTGCTGGTTGGAAAAGCCGCCATTGCCTACAATGCTGATTACGGCATCTTGGCCCTTGAAGGCAGAGACGAGTGAGTCATGGCTGTAGTCTGATTTGATGACTTTGAGGCCGTCGGGGAAGATGCTGGTAGATGAGTCTCTGGAGAGGACAGTGATGTTGAATGCGTTAGATGAAAGGAAGGCCTTGAGGACACGGGAACCCAGGTTTCCTGCGGCCTAAGAGGGATTGTATGTTAATATGTGAAGGGTAGGGAGGATGGTCTGGGTTTACTTACTCCGACGATTACCACGTTCTTCAGTGGGGATGTCATCTTAATGAAATTATTACGAGGCGTTTCGGTGGTTAAGTGGTTGGTAGTTCTGAAGTGATCTCGCTGAAAGTTCTTCAATTCCTGTACCGTTCTGCAGATACTAAATGGATTTGATGTCCTGTTCACCCAGCATTTATACATTATGTTGTTCAATTAGATTGGTAAGCTTGAAATGATGCCATCTGGAAACTGCTTCCTAAATGTGCTTAGCCATGAGTACCCGGATATCACGCCATCTCCATTCATGACGGAATTGAGCGCGTTTTACAAATCGGCAGAGAACTGACATGTATAGTTCCGAGGGTTTAATGCTTCAGTCCGGGACCGTCTTACACTAAACCCTTTTAGGTGTAAAAGTGCGATTGGTCAGGAGGCAGCAGAGGGACACAAATACCAGTACTGTGCATTACTACCACCACTTAGCAGACAAAGCACAATGCACAAAGACATAATGTATCAATCACAAGCATATACCGTAAGCCAGAGGCACAACGTACCTCACTCTTGAGAGGACCGAAACCATTGAAGCTGGTGCAGGCACATTGCCACTGAACCTTATCCTTGGCATTCTGGCAGTAGTGTTGCAATTATTAAGCAACTGAGCTTATGAGTGGCCAGCAATGTAGCGGACATTGATGCGACTTTTCACCCAGCCTTCTGCTTGCCTGGGGCCCTCATGACTGCAATGGGACAGGATGATACGCCAAGAACTGACTCAGTCGAGAAGAACGGTCAAATCTCGAGGTGATCCCAATAACACCCCAAAGTTTCAAGCCACTAACATAGATTAAAGCGGGGTGCGCACGGTGTAAGCAGCGCGTAAGCCAGTCGGCCATCCTTATGCCAACGTCAGAACACTAATTCAATGTAGCGAATCAAATGTGACGAAACCAAGCCTTCTTGCGTGGCTTGTTCTCGGAGAGGATATGACTGCCCGGGGTATCGCAGAGACGTCAAATGGTCGGCGAAGCATGAAGCGAAAGGTCTGAATTCAGAGTCACTGTCTCCATCAAAGAAGGAACCTCCTATGAGCTGGTTCACTGAGCCAGCGGAGAAACTACGTCTGGCTTTGCTGAGCGATCTGCGACCTCCGCTCGACCGTAGTCAGCCCAGTACTAAGAGAGTAGAGCAATGCAGGACATCGAGCCGCTGCGATGGGAGAACAGACACACCCGATCATTCAACCACAAACAGCGATTCAGCACTTACGCTGCAGACTTCCGACGCCGAAACCACACCAGAGAGACAACATAATGCTAAGCTGACATCATCACCAACTGATTCCTCTACCAATTTGCGAGCATACTATTTCTCTCATACATGCCGTCTCCTTTCCGGTTACGATTCCCCCACGAACCCACTGCGAGAATGGGTTGCACGGCTCTCAAATGAGCACCCCGTGATCGAATCCTGCATTTTCTCTATATCGGCTGCACATCTTTCGCAGCAGCAGCGTGAGATGACTATGCTGGCTGCAAGCCATCATACAGCTGCGCTTGCGAGTCTTTCTGCTGGGATTGAAGCTCTAGACAAACGGCGGTTGTCACACCCACACGACAATGCCGGCTTTGTGCTGAAGAACAGTGAGTCTATGACTGCACTGCTTCTTGGGATTATCATGATCGGAAAGACTTCAGTATGTAGATTCCTACTGCTGATATAACCCTCATTAAGCCTAACCCCTACCCAGTCATGGAATAATCCATCCTCACTTGGTTTGCAGCACCTCGAGGCGGCAAGGACCATTTTCCAGTCTTTATACTGCGAAAGCCATTCTCAATCTCCCTCGATCTCAGGTGCCCCGGCCTCAGATCCAAGGCTTGCTCGAGACTTCTTTGTCGGAGCTTTGGTTTACTGGGAAGCACTGACCTCCTTCGTCGTAGACAACAGAACAGACGCCGCAGACTACCTTCTACGCTTCTGCGACGATGAAAACTGCGTGGCAAGTGTCCATCCTTGGAGCGGGGTCTCGCCCAGACTGTTCATATCCATGTCAAAGATCGGCTCCCTAGCACGACAGGCGCACCATTTACGGCGGGCATCAGCTTCGCCACAGCGCATCCAGAAAGACCGACGCGAACTTTTATCGCAAGGAAAGCATCTGGAAGAGCTGGTATGTCAGTACGATTCACCCCCTCAAGGACAGTTCCTTAGTACAGGTGATCCATCTACGCCTGTCGACGATTTTCAATTTCTAGGATACGCCTATGCTCTATCAATTATGCTTGAGCTGTGTCGAACATTTCCCGAGTTACTACGCCCAGACCAACGAACGCCGGATTACGATACCCAAAGAAAACATCTGAATACACTGGCCATCACTATTCTGACATTAATTGCCAAGATTCCAGAAACCTCTGGCACAAGGGCGATTCAAATGCCCGTTCTCGTGATAGCGGGTAGTACCCTGCAGTTCCAGCGGATTGAAGACATGGATGTCGACATGGAAGTTTTTTCGGATGGTGCTTCGGACCCAACTCATGCACCTGAACGAGTCGATATACAGTTCTGGCGACTATTTGTTGATTCTAGACTCGACAAGATGGCGTCCTACATGGGGTTAGACACAGTGCACCGGGCGTGTAGGATTGTGAGAGAAACTTGGGCTCGGGCAGACCAGTTATTGACCAACAGCTCATTTCACGGTCAAGCTCCGATTGTGCATTGGATTGATGT